TTGCGGCAGTTATCGGTGATCGCCGCNTATATATATATATATATATTTGCAAAACTACTATGCGTACCCATCATATTTTTGTAGAAATAAATTGTAGTATCCTGTATAAAAGGTTCATGTATAGCCACAAAAGATACTTTATGGTATTTGATCAAGTACAATAGCCTTTCACTAGCTGCCTGGGATTTAATTCCCCTAATATTCAAATTAAGAAGCTTAATCAGGGGTTGTTTCTAATGTTTTATTTTGATTCCTGGTAACACGAGATTCTCTATTCTTTCCATTTTCCTTCTTCTTTGTTGCTTTCCTTGGTGACAGCCCATCTTTCATACAAGCTTTGTCAATAGACTTTTGGACTCCCTTAGCTTTTGTGATTGATTTTTTTTCACAAACAGCCTGTATCAATAACTCAGCTTCCTCACCAGTAGTATCTTTTTCAATTAAATCCTCTAGCGATTCCTCCTCTTCAGTGGTAGTATTGTCTGCCTATTCATGAGGAGGTTCTTTCTCATGACTCGAAGTGGTGTTTTATTTTTCAGGTTCTTTGATTGACCCTTCTCCATCATTGGTATGCCTCCCATGTTCCTCGTCATTTCTCAAAGCTTCAAATTTGTTACCAGAGATATTTTTTTCCTTTCCTACCTGAGTATTTTTCTTTGAACTTGAGTTCTTATGCAGCTTTTTCTTCCATAGTTCTTCCTCCTCATGTCTTTTTGAATCCTGGAATAGGACTACGTGAAGAGCTTTCGGATTTTCTATTGGGATGTTCACTCTTCCTCAAGTTATCAAGTTCTCTTGCGCATCTTGGTTATGAACCGTCGGTTGTGTATTGCTGCTAGATGCAAGCTTTGATTTGTCATGATTCTCCACACTAGTTGTCCCCTTCCTTAAATTGTAATCTGTATTCTGTTCAATATGTGTGATATCCATATTACGATGTGGTTTATCAATACATAATATGGCACCAGTTGGCTTATATGCTTGTTTTGACGGTGCACTTCTTCCTCTTTTCTGAATATTGTTTATTCCTTTATTATTTTGTAGTGCTCTGCCCCTTTGAACCTGTTGAGTATCAGCGACGGGGGAAGTGCACGGTTGACCACTAATAACACATGTATTTACTTTTAAGCCACTGTTTAAAATGTCTTTAGTCTTTAGCCACTGCTTTAATAAACTTTAACTGCCCGGACGAAAATACCCTTCTGCTCATGTCCTTAACTTTTGTACTTAACTTCAGGACTTCAGGACTACATGTCCTTAACTTTTGAACATGTAACTCTAAGTTCAGGACTTCAGGACTACATGTCCTTAACTTTTGAACTTGGAACTCTAAGTTCAGGACTTCAAGGCTACATGTCCTTAACTTTTGAACTTGGAACTCAAACTTCAAGACCAAGCGTAACTGTAAGTTAAGGACTGTCTGTCCCTAACTTTTGAACTTGGAAATCAAAGTTAAGGACCTATTGTCCTTAACTTTTGAACTTGTAACTGTAAGTTAAGGACTGTCTGTCCTTAACTTTAGAACTTGTAACTGTAAGTTAAGGACTGTCTGTCCTTAACTTTTGAACTTGTGTCCTTAACTATTGAACTTAACTTTAGGACTTCAAGACTACATTTCCTTAACTTTTGAACTTGAAACTCTAAGTTCAGGACTATGTCCTTAACTTTTGAATTTAACTTTAGGACTTCAGGACTACATGTCCTTAACTTCTGGGAAGGAATTGCATTTCCTGTTTACTCATCACTCTTTTTCTTATTTTCACAACTTTTAGATCTAAAAATAAATTTAAGGAGCTAAGAGCAAATAAACCCTATTACACTAGACTCACTAGAAAGAAAAATAATCAGCACACCGATTCTGCCACAAGAGAAATAGCAGAAGCATAATAGCTTCTTGAGAAAGTAAAATAGTAGCAACGTTTTCTTCGGAGGAATCTCATTTGGAGGCCAAATTTGTCTTATGCGAATCACAACCATGACAATGAAGACGATAGCAAGCCCAAAAGTAAGGAAAATCCCGCCGATCATAAAAACTTAGAAATGGCAACACTGTCTTTTTCATATTAATTTTAATAGACTAGTGGCTACTATTGCTAAGCATTAAAAATGCTGGATAAAAAGTAAATACCACTTTAAAAAGTGGCTACCCCACACAATTTTTACTATCAGCGACTTGTTTCTCTTTAGGTATATTCTGCTCCTTTTCTCCGTTATCCTTGGGCTTCTCTTGTGCTTCGGCCATTTGATCCCGTGTTTCATTATATTCCTTTTCTAATATTCTACACTAGTAAAGTAACCCGCGCTTCGCGCGCAGTTGTGAAACACTAATGAATTTTAAAATAATTTAATCAAGATAGAAGAGAATTTTTTTATGTATATCCATACAATTAAAAATTCTATGTCTTGGTGATATTACAAATTAAAATATTTTTTTAGGATTAGAGCTTAGGTGACCTGATTTCATTATAAAAATTTCTTTGAAAATGAAAGGAAAAAAACAAAAAAGAACTTTAAAGGAAAATTTTCAGCTTTATATAGTGATCGTAATGCGCGATTCTTTAAGTGTACTATATAAAAGTAGGTATTTATATTGTTCCTCTTATTAGATGGTAAAAGCACATATTATTAACCCTTATCTTAATACTCCTTTGGACTATGTTTTTTAATTCTTAGTCACAAATAAATAATCTTCCTTTCTGATTAAAAAAAAAAGGAAAAACCAAACTAAAAATAGAGTTGCAGAGTTACAAATTCTTTCACAAGGATTCAAACAATTTTTTTCTCCTCCTTCTTTCCCATCTGTTTTTGCTTCTCTTTTTCCCCCGCTCATCTGAAACAAAAACAAAAATCACATCATTTTTAGAATTTTACAACACCGAATGCGGCTGACATTTTGATAATCGCATGATTAAGTTTATTTGACATATTTTACCATCTTTTATCTTAACCTTGATTTCATCAACCTTGGCAGAGGTACAATGTTGTTATTGTAGTATCCATAAATTATTGATAACCAAAACTCATCATTTGATTGTTTCGCTCCTACTCTTCCTTGTTTACTCAAAATTTCATCTTTCACCGTGTCTTCGCATCCTCATTCCCAAGTCTTGACACATCATACTGGATTTTGTAGCTCTTGTCATCGTCCTTACATCTACCCATAAATTATAAGGGGTTCACGTTATTCTATAATTTAATTTGATAAATAATATAAAAAATACAGTTTGAACTAACCTTTTATTTTTGGTTAGGTAGCCACAACACTGTAGCCCTTGTCAATGTTGAGTTCCAAATTTGGTGACCAAATTCTTGATATGAGCCATCTCTTTTCTCCTCTGAGATAGATGAATTCCACTTCAAAGCACTGGGCTATAATTAACACATAACTATGAGATGATAAGATAACAAACATAAGAAAGTCAAATTTTCAAATTTAATTCACAAAAATACGAAACTAGATGTAGTTTCCGAGGAACATGAGCATGATGTACTCCATTACACTCGCAAAAAACTGCATATTCAAAATGAGTTATAAGTAAATAGACAAAAATAATATAAATACTATTTAAAATCTTAACCGAAATAGTAAATCTCAACAAAAATAAAAAGTGCTTTGTGCAACCAACTTTATATTACTACATGAATAATACAAAGCTTTATGAATGGAATGGGAGGTTACATAAGTAACGGTCAAGTGCGAGCAAGAAGAGGAACAGAGGGACAAGGTTATTAATAACATAACATAATAAACGAATGGAAGTTATGGACTTGAAAAGTTATAACCCCCAATGAAGAGGTGTGAGTGAGTTATGGCATTATGGTGTGAAAATTTTAAAATAATTAAAATGGAAAAATTGAAAGGAAAATGTCAAAAAAATGAGAAAAAGGATAAAGAGGATTCCTACACTATAGAGATGCCACATCACCTCTCTCATATCCCTCCTTTATATATATATATAATTTGATAATTAATTGAATAACCAAGAAGTCTACAATGAGTATAATACTTAGGCACCCTTTCATAGTCAACCTTCTGCTCATGACCTTGTAGAGGATTAGTAGCATTTCTTTGACCAACAAAGACATGATTGAACCTTGGTTTAGTTAGATCATTTTTCACTCGCACTTTCGCCATACTAGGTCTAGTCCTTCCTTTTGTAGCTACATCCATTGCCAGAGATTTCTAATTGGCCTCAAAATTTATTTATGGAAAGGAAGTGTTGGCAAAAGAACCCATACCAGAGTTATTGGACTGTCGTAACCTTTTAGCGGCGACCACCGTCGCCACAAAATCATTGATAGTCGCCACTAAATGTTTACAGTAGCGACCATAGAACTGCTGCAAGTACTTCCATTACTGAATGGTACTAGTGGGGACAACATAAAGTCGCCACAGAATGTATACATTCTGTGGCGATGTAGTCGGCAAAAACTAAATGCACTCGCCACAAAAAAGAGCTCCACCAAACAGGTTTTGTTGAAGTCGCTACTGTAGAGTAACTATTAATAATCAGTGGCAACTCTAATAGCGCTACTGTAGAGTGACATTTAGTGGCGACTTATTCGCCACAAATACTATTAATCATCAGTGGCAACTCTAATAGCTCTACTGTAGAGTTGCATTTAGTGGCAACTAAATGATTTGCTATTAGTGGCAACTCTAATAGCGCTACTGTAGAGTGACAGTAAGTGGCAACTTAGCTGCCACAAAAATGATAAGCCATCAGTGGCAACTCTAATAACGCTACTGAATAGTTTACTCTAGTATTAATACTAATCTAGCAACTGAAACTTATATATTAATATATAACTTTAAGATCATCCAATAGTATTTAATAAACACCAAAAAAATTTCTTAAACCAAATAGTAAATACTTCCATTTCATTGTATGCATATACATATAACCAAAAATATTGAGTGCCTTAGCTTCAAGTTCCTCCGCATATATACTACGTAATACTTCATTGTCATTGTACGCATTTACATATAACCAAAAATATTGAGTGCCTTAGCTTCAAGTTCCTCCGCATATATACTACGTAATACTTCATTGTCATTGTACGCATTTACATATAACCAAAAAGCAAAACATTGAGTGCCTTCGCTTCAAGCTTCTCCTTCAATGTTCCCACTGTTTAAGAACCTTGTCCCTATTATTAAAGAAAAAAATATAAGATCACATTGTTAGAGCATGAAGATAACATCAAGGCGAAAAAAGATACAGAAAAGAACATTAGGCCGAAGAAGCGACTATTCCTTGTATAGGCACGGGAATCGAAGGTGTTCTTTTTCCTTAAAATTTGACCATTTCAACACTAAGCTCTGAACCAAATCTTGTGTTTGGTTTAAACCAGAACTAATTATTTTGGATATTTAAATAGGTTAAACATGAACACTAGATCTTGTGCTCATATGTTAAGTGGAACATTACAAGTACTATTCATAATATATAATCATTTCTTCATAAAGTCTTCCTATATTTCACTTGATCAGAATCACAAGGTAGAGGTTTCTAAACTCTGACAAAGGACGAGGTATTTACCATAATTTTAGTCCCCAAAAAACAAGAATAACATGCAGTGTATAGGTAATACTCATATACCGTGTATTACTGCACACAACACTCACCTATTTTTGTGTGCTTTTTTGCCAATTACAGTGATATCCTGAATGGAGTCAATTTATCTCCATATTCTCAACCACTTTAATCTTCATATATATATATATATATATATAGTTCATAGTTGGAAAGTGTACAACCCCACTGGCTCCAAAGCTTTGTTCTTTCTACTCTCTAATATTGATCTGAAGGTAATCTTCCGAACACACACATATATATATAGTATCTTTAATGTTCATCACCAAATGCAAACTCATGAATGAATGTGTGACTTGTAATGTTTGAGAGATACAGTTCATGTTTATTAGTATCACTTGATTGCATAGCTATCTCCTAGTTCCTATTGCTGTAAGTTTATTTCTTTTTCCCTACAGTGATATCCAACTATTCCCTCAGCTATACAAAGAAGAATGCACGCAGTTAAAAAAATGTTGGATACATCTGTAGGCATATAAAATTTATTGGGATTAAATTCATAAAATAATTTCGACTATATTTTAAATTTAAGATATATTAGTTCAAATAAATTTATTGGCTAATATAATTAGATTATTATATAAGTCCAAATGCATATGAGTTAAATAAATGAGTCCAAATGCATATGAGTTAAATAAATGAGTCCAAATCCATTGGGCTAGCCCATTTAATTGGGTTAAAGTAATGAGCCCACTTCATTAAGCCCAATATGCCAACTTCCTAGAGGCCCAGTTTGGCGCCACGTGTCAAATGACATGGCACGCCAAGTCAAACGGAAGAGCCAATGGGATCATGCCACGTGTCAAAATGACAAGGCATGCCAAGTCACGCTAAAAGGCCAATAAAATCGCGCCACGTGTGCAAGTGACATGTTCTGGCCAATCAAATGCGGTCATGTCACAATTTAATTTGATTGGCCGGAAAGAGTTTGTTCTTATCACAACTCCTCCTTTCCACAACTATAAATAAGGGTCTTCATAACTCAGAAAAGACACCAGAAGTTATAACAAGAAGCAAGCAAGAGCTCGTGGATCAAACGCTGCAAATTCCTCCACAAGTTTCAGGCTTCAAGTTCAAGTTCAAGAAATCAAGTGCAAGTTCAAGAACGAAGAACAAATTAAGGTCAAGTTCAAGCAATCAAGCTCAAGCTCAAGAACAAGATCATCGTTCAAGACAACAAATACATATTCAAGATCAAGCTCAAAGGCCCTTGAATTTATTTACTATTGAAAAGTAGAGTCAGAGGATTCATAGAGATTGTACACTCAAATATTCGAAATAAAATACTACGATTGTTGCGATATTTTCGGTCTTGATTTTATTTTCTCGACGCAAAATTATTGTCTACAACATCATCTTAGGCGATAGTAGTACTTTCTACACCAAACTATCCAACTATAAGAAAAGTCAATTATCTTTTACTTATCCAAAAAAGTCACTATGTTCATATCCAAAAGGGCTTATAAAATACTGTCTTTAAATCTTAATCTACAAGGATCCAAACTCTATTGCAACAATGTGCCTCATAAAAGAAGGTATTTTATCAAACACATTATGTGCCTCACAAAAGTTTTGAAGAGAAGAATTTGCAAGAAGGAACCAAAATTCAAGAAAAAAAGAAGAAGAATAGTCAAAAGGAAGAGTACAGAAACATTAAGAGTAGATCACCTGTTGCATTCCAGTCATGATAGCAGCCAGTTATTCTTGAATCCTCTTGGCTACTTCTACACTGATCCGGTTGTCTACTTCCACATTCACGTGCTCAAGTTTCTTTTCCAGCTTCCTCTGCAACTCTTGTTCCATGTTACTTCTTACACTAAAGATGCTTGAAATCAGTCGTAAATCTAAGCAAATGGTTATAATGAAGGTTGTTACAGCTATTAAATGGATGTTTAAAACTGTCATTATACTGCTGCTGACAGTATTAGTAGATGTGTTTATAATTCAATATTAGTAGTTAAAAACTAACACATTTCCATTTGGTATTTAAGAATCTGCACACTGATACAAGATGTTCAGCAAAAAAGTGACACTTAGATAGCATGGTACAATATAAACAATAGTAGCCCTGAGTGCCATGAAATATGAGGCTTAATTGCACTGACAGACAACTAGGTGAAATAGCATATGGTCAATTGTAGAAGTAGTAAATGAGACAGCACAACTATCGTCCCTAAATTGGCGTTTCGAGCTTTCAAATTTCCTTCCTATGTGGCGAAGCAAGAATTTTCACTAAAAAAATTTAAAATATAAGAAAGTAAACACACCAAAAGGAAATGGCCAATTGTAGAATTTTAGAATGTTCCTTCTGCATATGGTCAATTGCAGAATTTTCGCTTACCGCTTTGCAGCAAGCATATGAGACATTTCCTGCCTGAATATAAGATATAGAGAAAGAGAAAACAACAGCTAAAAGGAAAATCATATAGGAAATGGCAATTTCAGGCTCCAACAGTAACAACCAAGTTCAGACGGATGTGTAGTTACATTAAAGGGAAAAATAAAAAACTAACCTGCACTACCACTTTCAGCTTCTGGAGAAGGATACACACTTCTGTCCAGATTTTTTGATGAAACTGTCTCTACAGAAGGTCTCTGCAAAGGGTTGCTTGATATTTGTCCTATCTCTATAGGTTCTTGACAAGGATTATTTGATTCTCCTGTCTCTAGGGATGCTCTAGTATTTCCCCTTAGCTGTAATTGTGGCTGAGACGTCGCTCCAGAATTGCTACGTCCTTGAAAACGGCCACGTCCACGGCCAGTCCCACCTCGACCTTTACCTCGTCCAATTCCTGTCACGTTGAACCTCCAGCATGATGTAGAAAAAAATTAATAAGAACCAAGGCACAATTAGGGTTAAGATATTATCATTTTATACATGAAGAATTAAAATTAAGCTTAGTGCACATAGAAGGCAGGTAACAATTCAATTCACAAAAGCTTAATATATAACTAGTTATGAAATTAAAGTTACAATCATCATGATTAATTCCATCGTCAGTTTAATAACGACTAAGATACAGAGAACTTTTCAAAACAAAATGAGACATCTAACTACATCCGTCTTTGAGACATCAATCAATTGAGAGCATTGTCGAGTTAGCAATTCTTTGCTAGAGTCATATTAACAATAGGATATGCAATTAAGAAAGTCAAAAGAGGCACCAACGAGTTAGAAAAGGAAAAGACATAACAACTTATATAGCAAATGCTAACACATAATGAGCTTTAGAGTAACACCCAAGGTCAGTCAAAGAATTGAAGTATGTGGTTTTTGTTATACATACATCTTTTCACAGATAAAATCAAGCTAAATGTATGTCTTTCTCAAATGCAAATCAACTGATGTCCACACCCTGATACCGGCGATATCTCGATAGACACAAGATGACAACTCATTATGTAACAACAAAGAAAAGATTACCGTTTCACAACTTAGGAATAAAAGAGTATCTCGTTCGAGTGTCATCCATCTAATAGAGATGCATTCACTGCTTTCATGTTTCAACTTAAATAAACAGATTTCACTCACATTGGGTTGGTTTGTTACTTGGGGAAGGGGGGGAGGCGGCAGCTGCAACATAAAACTGGTGCATTGCTATTTACAACTTACAACAGTAGATGGATTATACAAGCTACCAATAGAACTAATGTCGCACCTCCTTTTTACATACCCGAGAGGGTACAAGGGAGTTTTCTCCAATTAAAGGACAGTCGAAACGGGATTTGTTTGTTTGTTTCAGAGTTGCCACTTGGGAATTTTAAGGCGTCCCAAGTCACCAATTTTAATCCCTGAATCGAGGAGAATATGACTCTGTTTATTATTCTGCGAACCAGAAATCATGAGTAAGGAATTCTGTTAATCCGGAAGAAGGTGCTAGGCATTTCCGAATTCCGTGGTTCTAGCACGGTTGCTTAACTGTTTTTTATTCTTGGCTTAATTATCTCGATTTTACATTTTTATTGCATGATTTTGTTACCGCTTCTGTTTAGATTGTTTATAATTAAAGACCCTTCTTCGAATCGAATCACGCGTACGTGTATTCGTTTTATATATTATATATTTTTTTAACGTGAGAAATCGTGTCACGCGTAGGTGTACACAATGATATTGATAATATATTTATTATAAAAATAATTATTTTTTTTTTCGAAATTGTGTTTAAAAATAAAATTAAGAACATTCGCTTTTCTTAAATAATGAACCGCACATCTTCGGGTTTTATAAATTAATTTAATATCCCCCGACGAATCTCATTTTAATAAAAATTTGCTCGAAATTGCGCGAACGCATAATCCGAATTGCCTTATAAGTATAATCAAGTCACGC